CATATAAATATGTGAAACCTGAGGGATGTTTACATACCACACAGTGGCTATAAAATGGGGAATGTATACGCTTGATTGTGTACCAGTATTATAGGAGTGAATAACTCCCTACAATGGTGGTGTCATGACAATAATAGCCAGAGAAATATTTAGTAAGTAAATTTTTGTATTCTAATATCAAATAGATCAGAAAATATATAAATTTTATGTTTTGTTATTATTCAGTAAGATAATAATAATATAAAAATCTGAAAGCTCCTTGTAAAATGCCTCTTAAAGATAGAAGAATGAAGTTGGTGTTGGTTTTTTCAGTAATTATTAAGTTCCCAGGTGATTAATTCCAGTTTTGTTCCCGCTCACGACTTTCTCTATCAAGTTGATGGATTTGCAATGGGTGGTCATGTTTTAGCATTCAGTACCAAATTGTACTTTAGCATTGTAATATTCACTGTTATTAATCCATCCCATAGCATCTGAAGTATCATGAATCCAAATAATTGATCATTCCAGACCATGGTTGTAACCAATAGATCAGTACCCTAGATTACGAATAATGACAACTAAAGACCAAACATACATTGCAATATGCTCGCCAGTCCTTTCCATAATCTGGATAATGAGCTCCAGAGTTTTCAAGCGTCGATAGAAGCCTGCCGCCACTTACACATGTTATCTCCGTAGTGAAGGCGGGGCTACTTTGCGTTGGGCCACAACAAGTCCATCAATAAAAATCTAAATATAACACGAGCCTTCCAGTTTTACCAAGCTCCCCGCTTCCACCAATGGAACCAGCTTCCAGTTGTGGTATTCTGGACGGCAGAACTCACCTCCACCATTTTAGAGTTAATGTGCTTTGACTTCTCTTTGACTCCAATAGGCTTCTCATCGCCGAATATGATCGGGCTTGATCAGGGTGCAGTGTATGTTCCTTGAGGAATTATGCTCTTTTCTATATGATTCACTACTGCCTATAGAATTAGTACTTATTTCAGAGGGGGTGTATTTCCCTTGGTTGCACGGAGCTTCCTCTCTTTCATTTCTCTTCTCTTTTTTCTGCCTCATTGAATCTCAAGTGGTCCCCAGATTTTAAACGGGCCATGTCTACCTAACTTCACTTTGTTGTTTCCCCGGGAGTGTCTTTGTGCTTTTATCGTCCCTGCAAGTTCTTCATGGATCCTGGTGGACTCCCTGCCATGGGTCCTGCTCAGGACTGCCACTCTGCTCAAATTAGTCACTGTAAGAGTGTGTTATTCTGTTGGGATTGGGACTGTTATTCATTTATAAGTATTGTATTATTAATGTTCATCATCATTTGTCACTACTATTAATGTAGTTGTTGCTACTGTTGTTGCTGTGCGTCTGTCTGTCTGTATTTAAGGTTTGAGCCTCCTAGCTCTTTAAATTCTAATAGCCAATGGCTGCAAATCATTTCCAATTGTTGCTACAACTGTACTTATACGTACAAATCTTACTTCAACATTATAAGGTTGATAAATCACTAAAAAACAGATGTACAGCTATAAAAAAGTGGGTATAATGCATGTTGTGAAAGCTAATCTATTCTATTCAGGTCCAATGTGTGTGTGTGTTTTAGCTTTGGTGCAGGCTGCATTGTGAGCTATACACACACACATACACATACACATACACACACACACACACACAGACCACAGACACAGACACACAGAGCTCTCAGAGAGGTCTGGGAATGAACACTAAAGGGGGAGAAAAGAGACAAGACAGGAGCGAAATGAAAAAGTTTAAAGGCCTCTAAAAGCAGCATCTGACACTGTGTGTGTGTATGAGAGAGAGAGAGAGAGGAATACAGAGCAAGAGGGACCCAAACTGTGTTTCCATCCAGCCCTGAAATAAATTTCCCTCCACATTCACATGTAAATAAATGTCAGTATCTCTGGCTGCTGCAATACACCAGTGATTCAGCCTGTTGTATATCCAAGTTTTTCCATGAGCTAAACAATCGCTGTCAGGAAAAACTGCCCCGCGATGCATTTTTAGAGTTTTCTGGTTGGTCTGGAAATCAGTAGAAGATAAGGAAGAAGCGGCCAATCCGAGCAGGAAGAGCGCCGTGGCTAGCGCCGCCTGCTTTGTTTGATTGACAGGTAACCTTTGGGAAGTAGCAGCACAGGAACAACCACAGCATCAGTGTCAGCTGATGTCATACTTCACTCTTTCATCCACAGATGAAAATGAAAGAAATGCAAATAGCAGCCAGAAACTTCGGCCCTTCAATCATCTTTATTGGCGTAATGTGCTCTGATGAAGGCATTTGGGAGCGAAAGGACGACGGAGGTGATTGAAGAGAGCTGTCATCCTGAACATTTGTCTCCTTTGTTCTTCCTCTTTGGACAGAGACACGAACTCGCTAATGCACAACAATAAAATACAACCAGGATGAGGTAAAACATGCACCTCAGGAGGTCGTTAGACATTTCTGTGCACAGATGTTAAACAGACGAATGTTGCACATCATTTTATGTTTGATTAATTAGTTTCCGTTGCTACATAATGTTTTAACGAAGGTATTTGTGTGTCTTTATTGTGTCTTTGTAATATTGAAACCATTAAGTGCACATATGGGCTTCGGTTTAAGATGTACAAGTAGCAATAATACAATAAAAAGCCTTACTTAAGGTTTGTAGTTTGTGACATTTAGGAGGCGTTATTGGCAGAAATGGAATTTAATATTCATAAGTATGTTTTCATTAGTGTTTAATCACCTGAATATAGTAATCATTGTGTTTTGGTTACCTTAAAATG